AGATGAAACTCCGTCGACCACTACATGGAGAGACCTGTTTGAAAGAAAACTAGCTAGCAGAGAACATAGCTGGGGAGGCAAGCCATAAGATGTGAGCTTGGCGAGGAGTCCGTGGTGCCAGACTCGATCGAATGCCTTGGAGTTAAGTTAAGAGTGATCAGCCAGGTCAAAATTGAAAATCCATTCGAACGTTCTTGTTTGCTCATTGAACTGGTTAAAGTGTGCCGTTCAAAATGAAGAGCAGTTATTATCGAATTTTGTCTGATTTTTCTAAATCTGATAATTTTTTTAGAGAAAAGTGATCACAAAGTGGAGTTTTTTGACATTTATTTTTCCTGAGTCAGGATGCAGCTTCGTGTTTTTATAATATCCTATCTTGAATAGTTTCAATAGAGAAACGTCGTTGGCAAATTTCAGATAATTTCGATGAATCATTTCTGAAATATCTGCGATCAAAGTTTTATGGCAATTTCAGATCATACCCTGTACTTTATCTTCGTTATATGGATGGCCAAGATGTTTTTATATATTTTCATGTCTTGATTTTTCCTGAGATTTCCCCTCTTCACCATTTGACCATGAATAAACCTGTATATATCAAATAAAGGAAAACTTTATAAATAGTTTCATCACAATAACTCTCTATTATTTAAAAACTTGAGTAAGAAAATACAATAATTATCAAATGTCTCAGGAGTGATGATACTAGTGACTGGTACAGATGAATCTTCGAAAGTTCTACTTGAATGCGAATGGTCTAAAAACTTCAGGAGTTTAGATATTTTGGCGAAAGAACCGTTCTATGAATAATCCTTCGCCAAAACATTAAAATGTGTACAATATCCATATTTGGTGAAAAATGAGCTAGATGTCTCTTTCGATAGATTTTGTAGCGAAGAATTTGATAAACTTTCAATTTTGCTTCAAAATGTACATTCTCTCATGATATTTATCCTTAGTCTGAAAAAACGTTTGAATTCAAAACGTACAAACGTCTCTCACATTTGAGCGTCAAACCGTACAATCTCCCAACTAATTTTGAAAATCAAAGGGTACAATCTCCAATGGAACTTTCATATCACTCGTGGTGAATTATTTGAAAGCGTGCAATATCCTGTTCGCATTTTGATGATGAAAACGTGGAAATTTCAGGATAAGTATATCAGTTGTTAATTGTGGTTTCGGTCAGCAGACCCTGTATATCCAGGGAAACAACCAACGTCAACACGGTGGCTTCTGTTTGTTAACTCCGAAAAAGGTGTCTGCGATTAACTCTTCCTGAGGGTTATGTTCAATAATTTGTTTCAGGTCTGCTTGAAACAGTTTCCTCAATATTCCTTCTATCATAGTTATTGGGTAATCTTTATAATGGGTGTGTTGGAAGCACCTAGATTGAAATTTTTAATAACATAGAATTCTCATATTCCTCAGAAAGCGAGAAAAATAATACAGGGGGACAAAAGAGCAGTATTTTCAATTGTTCAATCTAATAAAAATATGAAACTCATCCAATTATATTCACCATGTATAAATATTGATATGGCAACTCACTGCTACGCAACTAGAATTATCAATTTGAATCTAATCACACCAGAAGAAGCTCCATTTTATATTGAAAACAACCACCAAGTTTCATAGAAATTGAGAAGGACACCTGTAAGTAATCATCTGTCTAGTGGTTCTTAGCATTATTTCAATATATTCGTAGAAGGAAAAAATCGAAAGATTTGATTCAAAATGTCACTGTGTTTAATATGCTCCTATTAAAACTCTGAAAGAGAAATTTGATCAATATCGATCGAGATATCAAATGCTCAAAGAAGAGTAATTAATAAAAATGGAAGCAAAATATTTGTGAAGGGTATTATTTCAAGTGTCTCTCAGTACCTATTAGGCATGAGGAGTTATGTGCTCAATATAAAGTTCGAGAGGAAAATATTATATTTGGAGCCAAAATGAGAAGAATTGGTTTCGGTAATTCATAAACAAAATATTTTGACATTTTTGGCAAGTTATTCTTGTGAAGTTGATCTGAGATGAAGTTAAATATATCCGTTACTCCATAACTTAAATATATCCTTCACTCCATAATTATTTGTTTTGTTTCTTCATCCAGACTGACTGATGCATTATTTATACAGGGATACACTAAAGCTGTCCAAAGCAATTGTGTTTAGCGCTCGTTGAAGCAATTTTATGCTTCCAAGCAAGGTTGGTAGAACTGATGATAATTTCCCGAGCACTTATATAAACCAATGCTGAGTCTTAGGGTGCTTCGAGTATTTTTGAAAAAGGCTTAGTAAGTGCTTAGTGATCTCGAACAATTTCCACCTACTTTCATCCTTTCAGAGGATTTCTGTTCAAATAATAATCGTAACATTGTAATGACCATTGAAATATTATTTCTATACTTATGCCAACGTTCACCATGGAGAATCTAACTATGACAGCAATGATCTGCAGCTATGAAATACGAATGTCTCCCATTCATAAAAACCTTGCATATGAGTTCAAGATACCGAACCGAAAATTCTTCACAAACCAATTTTCATAGTAGATATTTTTTTGGATTTGAGATAAATCAAATGCTATCGATTTTGAATTCGGTGAATAATGTACGAAAAAGCAAAAAAGACCAAATAAGTACAGATTTCAGCACCGATGTTGCCATATCATCAGACATGAGAAGTTAAATATACATAATTAAATATTGTCATGAAGTTGAGAAGTTATTATAGAGAATGATGATTATGATGATCAGAATCGGTTGCTTAGTTCACCTATTGAGATTATAAATCACTGAATATACATCATAGATTTAGCATAAATAGCAATCATTACTCAAACTGAAATTCTAAGTGCTGCCATCTCTTTACATAATTATGCACCCATACTAATCAACGACGATGTCGCCAATCGTATAAACTCACTGTAATCCTATCCATTCAGAATGCTCTGCAGAATGTCATAGAATCGTGTGAACATATACTGCTCACCAGGCTCATTTTGGAGCTGCCAACTTTGGGTTGGAGATTGCTTATATGAATTCCCGGCAGATAGCACTGGGTCTTCAATAACGCAACAAGAATGATATATCTATGTAAATACTGATGACAATGTGTCCATTTTCATCATAAATACCTATAGACATGTCAATTTTGATTTGATCTAAAGTTTGTTCGAGAACTGTACAATAATATAAGGATAAGAGGACCCATTGGGGTAATGACACTTTATATATTATCGATTTTTCAGAATCTCCATGAAATACTGATTCTATACAACGATTATATATTCCTAAGTGTTGCTTGAAATTATACAGTGATCTTATGATTTCCATATTATGATGTAATATGAGCTCTATATCATTCTGACAGAGTATCACAATAGTGGAAAGGTGAAATAAAAACAATAAATATCATATTTCATGAAACATTTATTCGAAAAATAACACAAATGAGTAATTCATATTCAGTACTGAAAAGTATTCAGTAAATCATGCATTCACTTACTTTTTACTCCTTCAAGGTACATCACTAAGGCTGAAATATTTGGTATACTGAAAATAGTGAGTATGAAGAGTACATATGAACTATATATCTAATAGTTCCTTAATAAACAATAACAATTTTCAATTCCACATGATCATATCATGATATCCACATACGCATTACTCGAAAAAGAATGCATATATTATTCAAATTGTGCTGTTTTGTGATAAATTGCTGTGGAGTAGTTATCTGAGAGATTATTATCATTATTTATATACATGTTCAATAATTTTTAAACATTGGTTCATCAATATTAGTGGACATTGATGATGTGAATTTTACATATGTCTTCAATTTCACTGACCAATGTTTGCACTATAGCGTTTTGAAAACTTGCCAAAGGAGTATACCACCTACGAAAGTCCATACCGATCTAAGTTAATTTGACTTATTCCACATGTTTCCGAGATCCATCTGCTTCGAATCTGGTAATCACTATGAACTATTTCTCAATTTTAGATAAAATTGAAGTGAGAACCGTGTGGTTGGATTCGATATTTGATATTGCATCTCTGATAGTATAAAAACTAAAGCGAACAAAGGAAAAACTTGTGATGGTGTATTACGCAATGAAACTGTGAGACAAAATCAAATGGGAAAGTTAATTCCCCCTTTGAATGAAAATATTGCCTTCGTTTATAAAATGAACGGTACCTAATAAAAAACATAGACGAACCTTCAGTCTACCTACACCATTCCGTCCATTCTTCAAACTATAAGTTAGTTCATCAGTAACGACGTTGATGTTATGTGAATTTCATTTATAATCCCCCTAGGGAATGAATTATTGCCAGAAATTACAGAATTAATTTTCAAAACCCTGTATCGAATAATTCAGAAATTACAGTCCCTGTTCACTTTTCGAGCACTTTTCTGTATGTAGAAACATCCTTGGAGAACAAAAAACGTATAGCCACAAAAATAATGGGAATTGCAAACTGCAATACCTACTTCAGTTGCCTCCACGTCTGCTGGAATAAATTTAGCCAATTGTAAAGATGTTCAGTTTAATATTTAAAATAAATGATTTTCAATTTTTGTAGCTATGTACTGATGCATTCTTCATTGTTGAATCATATATGTAGGAAAATATGTATTATCAGTACCTATCATGTATCATGTCTATAATAATAATTATGATCAATTATTGTTTTATTTTTCCGATTACCATCTATTTTAAATGAGGTTCAATTCTTGTAGATATTGAATATTATAATTGTAGATTATTACCTGATAATAGTATGTCTATATTCATGATAAATTGGTTCTTATTTCTTTTTTTGAGTAAAAATAAAATTTGAAATTATATTTTTCTCACTTTATCGCACTAGTGTGGTAAAGTATCTCATTACGATACTAACATTAGTGTCGTAATGTTTCACATTACATATTGATAGTAGGTTAAAATACTTATGACGGTGTATTACACAGTGAAACTGTATAACAAAATTAGATAAATGAGTTTATTCCCCCCTCAAATATAAATATATTCTTCATACAAATAAAAAAATCCCGGTAATAGCAAAAATAAACGAGCCATCATTCCACACTATCCCTTTCACTTCCCGATGATGATTTTGCGTCCAGCACCGATGTTCTGACCAGCCTGCGTCGCTCCCTTGTTCTGCCCTGCCTGCAGTCCTATGATGGTCTGGCCGGCCTTCAGCTGCTCCTCGGAGAAGTCCCTCTTGTTCTCGTCGGAGGGCTTGGGCCCCAAGTAGGGCCCCTTCCACTCGGCGTGCCTGTACGTCTCCCTGCCGAGGGCGAACAGGCAGTTGGTCACTTGGCCGATGTCCTTCTTCTCCCAGAGGTCCACTGTCTGGAAGAGGTCGATGTCTGCGACGCCGTAGGCCTTGATGGCGGCCAAGAAGCTGGAAAGAAGCGTGGTTGTAGTGAGATAGTACGAAAGCGTAGACTGATCGAGTTTTTTTTTTCAATTGACAGTTGCAACTGTCTGAATAGACAGTTGCAACTGTCTAAATAGACACTTGTAACTGTCTTGATAGACAGTTGTAACTGTCTGAATAGACAGTTGCAACTGTCTATTTTGAAAAAGCATTTGGATAATCATTTTGTTGGAAAAACTCGGATTCTTGTTCCGTGCGAAAAGCTACTTCACACCCATAGAGAAACGAATAAAAAGAGAGTTGTCAAACCTGCAGTAAAAGTTGGCACCACGTTTAGAGCGACACACTGGGCAACTGGGTGGAACTAGTTACTATGATCGATATAACAGATTCTCTAGTTACCGATTGAGATAAGGCGGTTCATTTCAAACCTTTACTTTCAAAATTTGTATTAATCGAGAAAATTACAAAAAAAAATTAAGAAACTTAAAAAATATATTTTATTCCATCCAAGACTAGAGAACTACATATCATGAAACAATAAGTAAATAAAACTCTGAAAGAAAAAACAAAATAAGATATAAACTCTTCTGCCTAATAATGACTAGACATCATACAAACAAACAAAAATTATGAAAATTATGAATAAATGGATAACTAACTCTGAAAAAAAATTGTCCTGCTACATATGTTGCCTGGGTGTCAAATTCTGAGTTAGAAAACACAATATCGAAATTTGGAATAACCAATTCATTCAACTCATTGACAAGAACTGATGATGGCTCTGGCTCCACTGGGCAAGTTAAAAATGAGTTGAGATTATCCAATTTGGTAGTCACATCTTCTTCACAATTTTTGTTGGCATTTTTAGGTATCATCACACTTGAATTTATATGCACGGGGTCTTGACATCTCACCACACTTTTACATCTGTGATATTCTTTTAATCTGAAATACTGAAATATAACATTAAACAAACATAAAACTGAAATCAGTTAACATGCGTTCTTGAAGAATACCTCAATTCGATAAAATGTATGTTAAATTCAGTTCCGTTCATATTTCGGTTAGTTCAGAATGAAAGAATATCACTTATGTTTCTATAAAAATGTACCTACGTGCTACCTACATGAATATTATCAATTTCACATTGTCAATAATAGAAATAAACTCGGAAATAAAGTAAAATAAATGTGAAAGAGAAACTCGAATTTCAGTATCAACATCAACTCGGAAAATAAACAATATCTGTTGTATTCCATTGGTCTGTTCCTTCGTTCTGAAATGGAACTTGCTAAAGTTGATGTTTTTCCATAGTTGTCTCTGTTCATAGCATGATATAAACAGAGAAAGTCATAGAAAAAAAAAATTAAGTTTAACCAGCAGAGCAAACACATACGAACAGGCCTTATACTGTCGTGCTGTCGAATGTCGAAATTCAAAATGTTTCATGTCATGACTCGTTTGTCGATTGCGAACAGCGCCTCCATGCGCGACTGGGTTGCGCACAAACTTGATGGTCAAAATTTCCTATGTTTTGAACAGTCTCTTTATTTTTGGTTTGTCTATGTTCACACCTCAACATCTTCTCATGATCTACAAAGCGCAGATACGGCCTGTTCTAGAATACTGTTCCCACATATAGGGTTCAGCACCAAAACATACGCTGATGCTCTTAGATTCCATCCAGAGAAGAGCCATTCGCCTGGTGGGTGACGCCACACTCACTCACTCTTCGACATCATTGGAACACCGTAGAAAGGTCGGCGACCTTTCACTTTTCTATCGATACTTCCACGGGAAATGTTCTTCGGAAATCTCTGCTATCATCCCTTCACTAGCAATACCAATCAGACGAACTAGACAAGCCCAGTCAGCACATCATTTCGTTGTCAACCTCGAAAGATGTCGAACAGCACTTTATCAAGACACGTTCATCCATAGAACGGCTAGGCTCTGGAATTCATTGCCTGTGGAAGTATTCCCAACAACATATAATCTCCAAAAGTTCAAAAAAAATTCCAATACCTACCTACTGTATAGGGATTCCCTTTCGTGCGCTCCAAGCGATAAAAAAAAAAAAAAAAAAAAAAAAAAAAAAAAAAAAAAAGCGGAAGACGAACCATCTCTTGTGTAACTACTAAATCATTCTGAAGGCATTCCATCGGTATCCATGTAATCTACCATGAGTTTCTGCATAATTTGTAACGAATTGTTGGATTTCTAGAATGTCCGTAAAATTCCTTCTTCTGACCAATCCCAGATTGTGTTATTTACGTTTGAGAGTGCTCAAACTGATGATATCATGATTGAGAGCCATACTGGCCAAAATTTCAGTTTGTTGAAAACCCAAACAGAAATTAAATCTAATTAGACCATCATCCCTTTTACTATAGACAAACTACCACAATCGTTATACACGCAATACACACAGGTCGTATTAGATAATTAGTTTTAAGCACGTGTTCCTGTTTTTCCTACGTTGGACTGTTGTAGGTAGGACAGGGGACAGTATAGTCAGTGGACAGGAAAGTACGAATTACGATATCTATTTAGACAGTTGCAACTGTCTATTTAGACAGTTACAACTATCTTATCAAGACTGTTTCAAATGTCTATAACAATAGACAGTCTATTTAGACTAGTTCCTAGGAGCTGAAGTTCAACTTCAGGATGTACTAGGTCATTAAGGATAAACAACATTGTTATCGTTGGTTATTTGGGTTGGAACGCATACCTGATTTGTTTCCAATTTCGGCAGATTTGGCATTTCATAACCATGCTGGAGAAATAAAAACACCATCTTATAGTTAAGTATTTTTGTTTTGATCAGGAAAGCCTTCGAAATTCACGTACTTGCTTGATCTGTTTTTCATTCATTCTCGGGATCTGATTGATTGGATTTTGTATTTGAATAATCACGGCCAGCAATGATGGAGATAATTGAATAATTGCTATTATATGCTCACTAACCTAACATATTCTAATTCTTTTCCTAATACCTGGCACTGGCGCGGTATTTGGTATTAGCACCGAACATAAACAGAGACTATGTTCGGGGGTATTAGGGCTGACACCTGGTCCAAATCATGGTATGAATTCATCGATTTATCGATTCAATAGAATACACAAATTGGTCACTCTGTGGTTGTATTCATATTGAAACTACAATTCGTACATTCTTGAAAATTGAATAAACCTGATCTGTAAATGCAGGTAGAATGTTCTCACTACAAGGATTGTGGATTGATGGAAAGACAATTGAGAAATGAATAGAAAAAAGATCGTTCATGGAAATATTGATACCCTGTTCCTCGAAAACGAAGCAAGTTAGGACTAATGTTTATATGAACTTTATCTCCTAAAATACCACAGGGAATGACCCCTTGGTGTTATTCAGATACACCCTGTGGATATACCTTTTCTATTCATATTCTACTGGGCAGCAGAATAGACGGAAATAAAATCTAGCAGGTGAAGATAGGATGAGGAGATGTTCCTTATGGATTGATATTTGATATTTTTGTTTGAACAAATAGTTTCCTGGGAGTAACTCAGTCCTCAGTCTGTTCCGTTTTCGATGGCTCCCTCTGTATATAAAGGTATATAAGTTCAACCATTGTCGTTCTGGATGACAACCTAGCTAGATAGTTATTAGGCAGGAGCTATAATAGTTCAACAAATGAATGTATATGTACTCGTCCTCAGGAAAACTGCCGCTGTTGGACGTTGTAAGCGCTCTTATTGCAATTGTGATTCAGAGAGTTGACACCTTATATGTGCGACATGTTCTCTGAAAACGAGTGTACATACCTGTAACGTGAATCATCTTTTCCTCTATCGAACACATCGAGGGTGGAAGCATATAAAGTTCGGAATATAAATCATCTACTTATAAATCAACTAAAAATACATCATCGCCGATCTAGAGTTTCCAAATATTACACAAACGCGTTGTTTTTGGAATTGTATATTTAGAAACGCGTTCTCTGAAGTTATAAAATTTCGGAATTCAGGCGTGCCAGTGTCATAACGAAAATAGAATTCGTTCTGTTTCACGTCGAATTTCAATGTAAATATGACAACAAAAAATTTAAGAAACGGCTGAAAATGTTTCAAAGTTGTTTATTCTTGGATTATTCCACAACTACGCAGTTGGAACAAGAAACTATCAAATTTTAATTTGATGCAGAATTGAATGCACCAGCTCTACAGTTTTGTACAGGGTGTCCCAAATTGCTTGATTTTTGTCAAAGCCAACTATTGTCTTTATTCGAAATAAAGTTGGCTTTGATATCAAACAATTTATTGATATGCGATATATTTTGTTGGCAGATGTATCTCATTCTACGTTGAAAAGTGCCTGTAGAAAGTTCCTTCCATTTGAAAAATTATTCAAAAATAAAAATATCATGGCATATTTTTGAAATCGGTCGAATGTTAATTTTCGCCTATATCTCGGAAACGCTTAGAGATATCGAATTGCGGTTTTCACCAATTGACGTTTCACAAAAATCGAGCTCTATACCCCTTGGTCAGTTTTTCTCTAGCTGTTCTGGAATTAGGAAAAAATGCCAGAATCAAGCAACTTGTGACACCCTGTACAGTTTGTTCATAGAGATAGGATGAGACCCATTCACAGAAAATAAAAGGGATGCATTTAGAAAACATCAGACAATGCATAAATGGCGGTTAACGATAGTTCCTCCACCAAAATTTTGAATTGTATTTAATCGTCATAAACTAACCAGTTGACCCCGCAAACGTTGTTTTGCTGTAAACATTATTTCCAGAAAATATTTTTTCAGTTGAATATTCATCAACACTATTATCATTTCATTTTCTACTTCTCTTAAGTTTGGCTATCTATAAATGCCACATTGGATCAGCCATCTTGAATTTGCTCATTTTAACGAAAGAATCATAATCTCCGACTCCTGAAACCCCAGATGAAAATTTTTAATATAATCGGATCATAATTCCAAAACTCGTCCGCCACATTTGATCTGCCATCTTGAATCTCCTAATTTTGACGAAGGAATTATATTGCCCGATCACGAAGGTCCCAATTTCGAATAGAATCGGATTATAATAACAAAACTCGTCCGCCATGAATGTTGACGAAAGAATCATGATATCCGACCCCGAAAACCTCCAGATACCAGTTTTGAATAGATTCGGATCATAATCAAATCACAGAATCCGCCATATTGGATCTGACATCCTGACTTTCCTAATGGTACCTAGAACCTAATATTATCCCATGTCCGTCTCCTGGTTTTAAGTTATTTCCCCACCAACTTTCAACTGAATCGGTCTAGTAGTTTCGGAGGCTATTCAATACAAACAAACAAATCTTTCCTCTGTATTATATCAGTATAGATTAGTATAGATAAGACGTCACTCTATCGGAACTGTTTTTGTTTTTTTTTCTCGTAGATCTTCTACCTATTATTTGCCGAACAGCACTTTATCAAAACTCCTTCATCCATAAAACGGCTATAGGCTCTGGAATTCATTGCCTAAGGAAGTATTCCCAACAACATATAATCTCCAGAAGTTCAAAAATTCCAATACCTACTTCCTATCCCTATCCTCCCTAGGAACGCACAATGTTCTTTGAACATTATAGGGATTCCCTTTCGTGCGCTCCAAGCGACAAAAAAAGAAAAAAAAAAACAGAAGAAGAAGTTTCAAATAATGCTCATTGATTGTTGTTATTTTTGCTGCTACCGAAAGGATTAACACCAAATTAAGACTCAAACTAAAATGAAATATGAGTAAAAAACCACCAATAATGTGACTCACTTGACAGATCATTATAATAATATGAGTAAGTAGATAGAAACAATAAGGCCTCAGACTGCTTTACTTTGTTAATATTTGTGTTGAGATGCATCATGTCGACAGAGACTACAGGAAATAATTCAATATTATACTTAGGTACTACCCGAAACGTGGGCATGCGATGCAACATTACCAGTGGGTAGCGTGCCAGCATGATATGCCAAACAAACGAGAAGGAGGTTTTTGTTTCACGTTTTTATTTTCCTCCAACCCCACGAAACACCACCACTGATAGCGACAGATCAACTTCCCCACCCTCTGGGTATTCTCGGTGAGACCACCTATACAAAGTTCTCTGCCCTAGGAGATAGGCCTCTGTGACGAACACTCCACATATACAGTGTGTCCCACTTACCATGCTCACCATGGGTATCTTTTTAACGGTGAGAGATACGAGGTCGGTTAAATGACACCAAATGTGGAGTTTGTCAAGGCCAACTATAATGTGAAAAAATATTTTGATAAAATCTATTCGTTTTTGTTTTAAACACAAAAAACAGATTTTGATCATTTTCATGTCTCCTCCGTAACTTCTTCATTTATGAAAATATTCAAATAGGAATTTCACATTCGCATGGCAGTTTTTCAAAGTGATTTCGAAAAAAATATGAAATTTATACCAACTCTTCTAGAATTTGAGATATCAGCACCAACTTTAGTTTTTCGCTCACTTTGACTTAGTTACAAATAACTTTTTTTTTCTCTTACCGATGATATGTCGCAGTAATAGTTTTGTGTTGATAACAACGGAGTTATCGTCATTTATACAAAACAAAAAATTATTTGGGAGCCGCAATCTTGAATTTATAAATTTTAACAAAAAATCATGATCTCCGACCTCAAAAACCCCCATTTACCAATTTTGAATGGAATCTTGTCCGCCATCTTGGAGCAGCCATTTTTTTTAATTTCAACAAAAATTCCATAATGTATTGTCTCCAAAATCATGAACACCTGCCAAATTCCAAGCTAATTGGAGTTATGGAATTTTTGTTGAAATAAAAAAAAATGGCTGCTCCAAGATAGCGGACAAGATTTGGTCCGATTCCATTCAAAATTGGTAAATGGGGGCTTTTGAGGTCGGAGATCATGATTTTTCTGTTAAAATTTATAAATTCATGATGGCGGCTTCCAAATAATTTTTTGTTTTGTATAAATGACGATAACTCCGTTGTTATCAACACAAAACTATCACTGCGACATATCATTGGTAAGAGAAAAAAAAGTTATTTGTAACTAAGTCATAGTGAGCTATGACTTACATTTTGTTCTAAAAAAAATATGAATATGTGTTGTATTATAGAAAACAGATATAGAAATGAACAATTTTAATAAAAAAAGCATGATATGCCAAAGGTTGTGGGTTCGAATCCCGTAAACCACCAACTTTTTCCTTCCTTTTTGTTTTATTTCTTCGGAGTGCTTGATTGAAAAATATACTGTGGATGCATTCACAGATTAAGTGTATCCAATTTTCGAGGATGTTCGAATTGTAGTTAGATTATAAATATTACAAACTGACTATGTAATTGTGTTTGGCTTTCTTGTTGAATATAATGAATACTAGCCTATGTTGCTTATTTTAGATGACCTAGTACTTCCTTTTTAGTTCCTATGAGTTGAAGTTCAACTGTAGCTTCCAAGAACTAAAAGTGTTGCCTAGCAACCTATACCTATTTTTGTGTCAGTAATAGAAACATCAACCTCAAGAGTTAGGTTTAGAATTATCATGATGGTATATGTTCTTTTCTATAGCTGGTGGAAAAACTCACTTGTTGATGTTTTCCATCATCTTAAACTGTCCCCCAGAGGTGTTGATCTTGGGCACTGATCCTGGAGCCAGCTTGTTGATGACCTGGCAGAGGACAGTGCCGTCGCGGATGACGTCATCGTATTGCTCGCCAGGGGGGAATTTGGCTCCCAAGATGGTCTGGATCCATTCTTGCGCTTCTTGGTCTTGCTGTGTGTTGCGCTTGGAGGCGATCTGGAATGAGTCAAATCATACAGAATAAACCCTTCACTGCATGCTTTTTTTTCTGTGACGGAAAGAAAGTTTGACATTTCATATCTGTTGACAGGTTATAAAATGCCAGTTTCCACGAATTAACATTTTTCCACGCTGAAAAAGGAAGTTACTATTTCCCGGATATATTTATACACTGTTGATGGCTTTTGTTGAGATTGTTCCGAAAAATAAGCCAATAACAGCGTCTCCGAGAAAGTCCTTTTATCTTCCATTCCACTTCGCGGTAACGTGACGTAAAAAGTTCACAATCTTCCAAAATCAAATCACAAAATGGAACTGACAGATATTTGATTACTCCGAAAGAATGGCAAAGATGCCTGCAAAAAGAAGCCAACAACGTATTCTAACTCACGGTCACACAACCTGGAGCTACGATGTTTTTTTCACAAACAATATACATATTGGCACTTGACATACCATTTCTGAGTGAACTTATGATTATCTTTGTCGAAAAACCCTGTTTTCGGTCAGGTAAAAAACTTTGAATCACGGTAGTCCAAAGAGAAAGAATGTTGTCCACAACATTCTCGTCATTTGTTGATAAATGGCTAATAGGGCACCTGCAAAATCTTTGTTGCATTTCCTGTATGGCATATATGTTGTAAAATCATAACAGCATGCGCGATCTTTATAATTATTACATTGTTCTGGGATGGAAATAAAATGGCAAACTCGCGTCATGGAAGCGCGCGTACCTTAAGACCAGCATATGTATATGTTGACAGCATAGACTGCAGCTGGTGGGGGTTCTAGCTTCTCTCTCGAGACATCGCGTAAGGAATCAAAGAAGGAAGGAATCCAAAGAAGTGAGGAATACAAATAAGGAGGAGGGAATCCAAAACAGGAGGAGGGAATCGAAAAAAGTATGGAAACCAAAGATGGACGGAATTCAAAGGAGTAATGAGTTGCTTATTGGAATTTCAAATTTTGAAAGTAACATCTCGAATTAATCTTATTTTCTAAGAACTGTCAAAGGTGCTTCGATATCTGAATAGGTTGTATATAAAATATAGTATGCAACTCCCGCATAATGGCTATTACCTACTCAGATGATTATGGCACTCGTCTTCCGCTCCTGCAACTTTCATATTAGTGAGCATAATAATTACTAGTCATCGTTAGGCGCTGGACACTAATAAACTGATAATGATTCAATATTGGATCTAATCTTCATCAGAAGATGTTGACAGTAACAATCAGCGGGACACGTGTCGAAGGATGAAGTCAGTGTAGTGTGATCTCCTAATACAGGGTGTTTAAAAAAGACGCGGCAAAATTTAAGGATGTGATTCCTCAGATGATTTTATGAAAAGAGTTTCCACAAATGTAGGTCCGGAAATGCATTGTTTCCAAGATACAGAGTCTTGAAGTTTTTTTTGTTTCAATAATCTCCTAAATTAATTCAAATATATTTTCTCAGATTTGTTTGAAATTTGGCAGCGTTGTTTCTAGTGATAAGGGGCTGATTATCCTAGATGGAAATCAATATCAACAGTGGCGTTATGGGGAAGGCAATTTTATTGAATGTATTGATAAAAATAGAAGAAGTTGTAGTTTTAGTTGATCTATCTAAGGGAATCATCGAAATTGAATTAAAATCATCACATCTTTATCAATGAATTTATATTAAATTGCCTCCTCCATAATTCCACTGTTTATATTAATTTTTATCCAGTTGGGGCAAAATTTAAAAATAAATCCGAGAGAAGATATTTGAATTAATTCAATGAAATATTTCAATGAAGAAAAAAACTACAAGATCCTGTATCTTGGAAACAATGCATTTACGTGTTGTAATAAATTCGAAATAATATAAAATAAAACACACCCTGTTATATAGTTTCTGAGGTGACAATAAAAAATCACTACTGTTGTTGATTGATGTCAATAAAGATTTCTTGTTCATATAACATATTCAGTGAATATCATCCCAAAAGTATTCCATTTCAAATAATCAAACATCATTACGGACCTACATTTACGGAAACTCTTTTTCATAACATGATCTGAGGAATCATACCCTTAAATGTTGCCGCGGCTTTTCTAAACATCCTGTATATCTTGACGATCCCTTCAAATTGTGGTTAGTCTGTTACAAGAGTGAATTTTGATCTAGTTAATCGATTTTCTCATTTTTTTCCTATATCCCATTCTAGGTTATCACTATACTTCGAAATCACATTCAAGAATGGAAAGTAAGGAAAAACTGTTCGATTTTTTTTTAGTTCGAATTATGAAAGAAAATTCAATGTGTCCTACCTTGGCACGGACTTGACGTTCCAACGACATTTTTGTGTGATTTTAGGCTCACTGGTGTATGAAATTTCAACACCTACAAAGAACTGGATCAGATTAGCATGTAGACGCTTATATATGAAAATATTCGGCGTCTCATGAAACGTCACAGCTCTACGTCGATTCGAGATGATTCCACTAAATTTAGATGATTATTCAGAATTACTCGGTCAATTTCGCGTTCCCAACGATGACAAAATCTTTCCAGAAGGATTTCAACAAGTAACGTCCCAAATTATCAATGTTTATACAGAATGAACCTACCTATTTCATTTTTTGTGTTTTTGATACCTTGAAACGCAAGAAAGGAATGCTATGTAATGTTGAAAGAACACCGTGCGTATACATAATATACCTAGGGAGGAAACGGAAATAAGGTAGGTATACATTTTTTTTTTACTTCTGGAGATTATAGCATAACAGGTATTTACAAAAACTTACCTCATATTCCTCAGACCAAAACAATTCGATACAACTGATATAAGCCAACTTAATAACAATAATAATAATTCGTCTTTATTTCCTCAAAAAAATAATACATAGTAATATGGAGCATTTAGCTAAGAAGCTATTCTTACACTTTTCATCATGACTCAACCTGTGCTCGACTTATAATCTACCAGTCCTAATACTTATCCTAAAACTAAAAACCTAAATCTAGCTTGACACATGTGAGGTATGATTCAGGGTGATTGTTTGAATTCTCTTGGTAATGAATCATAAAGTATGAAAGAGTTGTATGTGAAACTTCTTGCAAACATATACGTGGTATGATGAGGCATTGTCAATTTCAGATGATGTTTTGCATTTATATCATGGACATTTTGTCTGAAAATGAGTTTTTCTCTGGGCTGGAGTTGAATCCTTCAGCAACTTGTGAATGAAATTAAAAAAATTATTTTGAGGAATCGCTCATATCTAACCACTGAAGCTCCCTAAGTTTATGGGTCACATGATCATATTTTCTCAAATTGAAAATGAGTCGACAACATGATTGTGTTTTGAATTTTCTGGATTCTGTGAATGGTTCTTTGTTCCAAACTGGGAAAATAAACGATGTTACAATGCTGGAAAATTGACAATACGAGACATTCACATAATTGTTTTCTCAGATTTGAACTCATGATGCTTCTGTTTGCAAAGAGCAATCTTAATCGTGCATATGAGCGCTGTATTAATGTCTTGACATGTTCGACAAATCTTAATTTAATGAGTCCTAGATTTTTCAATGATGTCGAGTACTCTAAAGGTGTATCCCCTATATGCAATTGAATACTTCCTTTGAACCGTTCTCTTACACCTTCAGAACATGATAAAATGGCGACACTTTTGCTGGAATTCCATGTTGAATTATGCTGAACAGAATATTCATAGATGGCTTGTAAATCGCAATTCATTTCCTCACAGGTATCAATTGCAACAGAGGGTTCAAAATGATGCACAAGTTGTGTGTCGTCTGCATAAGTTAGAAGATTCGAAAATTTCATTTTATCATAAATATCTGCTGTACATATTGGGAATGAAAGAGGGCCAAGAATGGAGCCTTGAGGAACACCAAGAATAATGTAAGCTGGAAGCGACACAACATCATTTATTTCAACCATCTGATATCGATCGAAGAAGTAGCATTTGAAAAAACGAACAGCTGAATCGGCGAAGCCATAATATTTCAGTTTACTACACAAAAGATCATGATCAATACAATCGAAAGCTTTGGAATAATCAAGGGATATCAAAATTGAAGCCATCTTTACATCGTGTAATCAGAATATGTCATCGGTTATGTTCAAGAGTGAGATTGTCGTACTATGACCTTTGCGAAATCCTGATTGATGAAGTGGTAATATATTATGTTCATCTACAAAAGATGTAACTTGATTATATACGATTCTTTCCAGAACTTTGGATGATACACATAACAAACTGATTGGTCTCAAATCCGTGATATTTTTTGGAGAATTATTTTTTGCTATCGGGTTAACAGTTGCTAGCTTCCATTCATTTGGAAAGTACCCTTTTTCTAGACAGCAACATATGATATGGGTGATGTGATTGAGGATTATTGGAAGACAGAGTTCAACCATATTTAGGCTTATATTGTCTACCCCACAAGCATTAGATTTCAAAGAATATATCGCGTCCTTCACAATGTTAGTATATGTAACAGGTTCCAGCTCGAAAATATATGGGTGGAACATATTATTGCCATAATGTTCTCTAGTATCTTGACAAGAATCGCTTTTCTTGAAAACCGATATAAAAAAGTCACTAATTTCACTTATCTCAGTACAAAGTTGCTTAGTCTGGGCGCTAGACGGTTCTAGTTTTCAAACCGTTTTCGCTTCATAACTCTGAGAAGGCTCATGAGATTTTACTTAAATTTGAACTATCATGATTATGATAAATATCATTCCATGGGCGTAAAACTTGATTTTCTCAGTAAATAGACATCTAAAACTTTCACGCTGATGGTAAGAAAAGGGAAGTGAATATGAAATTTGGATTCCATAACTTGTTTACTACAAGAAAGATACACTTGATGAAATGTTTCAACTATCATTGTTTCGACAAAGCATCAGTCAACAGTATATAAAACCATTAACCAGATATTCCATTAACATTGTTCAATATTCTCATCATTTCCAAGTACATACGATTTATACGATGAAAAAAATGTAAATGAGCAATCAGCAATTTTTTGTTATCTTTATTTCTGTACTGGAAAAAACTGAGTTTTTATCAAAGTTTTCTCAATTACTTGAGTTATTTTCGGAACATTTTTTTAAACTCAATGAAATTATTGGGAATCTGCTGGAACCGATTGGGGTATGGAACATATTCTGATAATATCGTCTAAGCAATGACCTTTGGATTTCTAAGCCTATAAAGCATCGAAATGTCATTGCATTCGGGCAACAGCCAACTTCATGTATTTTAATAAAATGCAATTTAACAGCCAATTAATGAACGATTATCAAATTGTGATACATAGTTGAATGGGGAATTTTAAGGCTAATGAGATGGACTACAGAAATATATATATATATATAAGCAATAAAGATATATCTATCTATCTACAGAAATATATAAGATGCCATTTGAAAAAGAAACAGATGGTTGAAGGAAATTGTCATTGGGTTCAAGGGAAGAGCCATCATTGATAGAATAACCCTTGAGAATTTCAAATTTGTATTTCTTCAAATAAAAAAACTACAGGCTATTACATATCTCCTGTGTCACCCGGTATTTCGTTTTCTGCTGATTATTCTACATATTCAAGTTTTCCCTTATAAATGTGGAAAATCGTCATTAAAAATATACCTGTTCCGAGAGATTCCTCAGAAATGTATACCTTGTTCGGCTGAAGATTGATTCATTCAGTACTTATCGAAAGCACTGTAGGTATATACTTTTCAGCAAAAAAATCAATCGAAAACAAAAAAGCATTATTCAATTTCTTTAACAACATCTTTCTATTTACTTGAGACAATATCAGAATGTCCTCGCACAATTGTTGATCAATTTCAAGTTAGGTCAAGATTTTATGAGTCATCACAATTGTATCACAACCTCAAGTATATGAATTCTAAAAATATTGTCCATTGATCAATCTATGCTCCAGCTTCAAGGGCGCCATTACCTAAAAATAAAACAAACACATAAATTTTCGAATGTTTATTCATCATTTTTCACATGAACTTATCATTTAGTGGACTAGAAGTGTGATTTCTTGATATCATTGTAACAATTTTGTTCTCCAATCTTCGTACATATAATCAGACACAGTCGAAAAAATACACAATATATTTACAAAATATTTACAACACAGTCAGTTTTTCGAAATTTTAAGGACACGGGTTTTTAGTATACGATTATTCAAAAATTACCTAATATTTACACAATGTTCAATAAAATTCTACCAGACCTATCAAAACTAAACAGAGGATAGTGCATAAAAATTTCACTCATTTCCCTCTCAGACAAAAACTGGAAGCGGAAAAAATTATTGATGTTTTGAATACAAAACTAAAATGGTTGAATTCATGATGTAACATCAGTATACTCTTCGTTGTCATAGAATTGAAAAGGAAATAATGATAGGATAAAAAAATGGAAAAAAAGAGGTGGGAATTTCACAGACGAAAATGAACCTAAATTTCCTCGAACATCCATTAGGCGCCCTTCAAAGTGTGTGCGAAAATGATTTTAAGAATGATGATTATTATTTATAATTGAGTTGCCCATCAAAGCCGAGAAGACATTTCAAGTGTTCGTTGATGCTTCAATTTCCAATATTTGTAGGTAATATCACGTGACCATGACAAATAGCCGTTTATTATTTTTCTCATGATTCCATCGAGAGTAACTTGTATTTTGACAATTTGATGAGACCATATCAACATTAATAGTCTGAATAGCATCAGTTATTCTATGATTATTGATGTTTATAATTATATGGAATAGGTTGAACAACTTGGCTATTCTATCCATCGAAGTCTATGGATGAAATTCAACTTTGATGACGTCAGCAACACTTCTGCTGAACAGAAAGTCCGAAAAAAGAAAAATAATAATCGAAATTGAAATTAAACTACAATTGTGATTTCAGTCCAACATTCACTTCAAATAATTAGGTACATTTAATTCAAAGTAAATTATTGGAGAATTAAGTAATTATAATTGTAAAGTTTGTATTTACCTACTTCACGTATACTGATTTATCATTGAACTTTCACAGGTAAAAGTGTATGAATAAGTATTATGAAATAAAAAATACAATTATTGTTGGTTCTGCTTTTTTATAATAATGATACTATACTACTAGTAATTGATGTAACTTTATGGGTATCTTGAGTGTTTCTGACATGTTGTTTGTTCAGCTATTCAACAACATGACACTCTTTGAAGGGCGTAAAATGGAACTCTGAAAATACCTAAACTGTTCCAAATTTGGTCTAACCATTTCTATACAACCACCGTGTACGATGTATTCAAACCTATTGAATTATTTCGGTGAACACCAACTCCCAATCAACCAACCAAGTTTCAATTTTGTGATTAGAAAACATTATGCTCTTTCGCATAAGCACGAAATACCTTATCGATCGAATGAATACGAAATCGCGGCCGCTTCTATTAAAACAAATGGTTCGCTGTGGTCGGCTTCAGATGATCGCCCAGTAGATAGGAGGCAGCGCCCCCAGTGGCGCCCAGCAGCGACGAGAACGGGGACGAGAGCGCAGCCGCGGCGGCTGCGTGGTGGTGGTGCGTCTGAAGATGGCTGGGCTGTGAAGACAAAACTTTGTTCGCCTGCTGGACTAGGAGGGCGGTGTTGCAAGATTGCGGGCTCATCGACGACCATTTGTTGTTGTTCGAGTGAATTTCTTCGGATTGTTTGCCTGCAAAACAATAATGATACAGTGATAGTCAGAGGAAATCCTGTTTTCCCGGAAACATACTCATATTTAAAAAGAGCTAATTCTTATGAAACAGTTTCGCGAAAAAAATAATTCCATCTCCTTGCTTCGAACAGTTACTATTATTCAACAAGCATATAATGAGGTCTATTATTCACGAAGGTTAAGTTTATGTCACGAGCGTAGCGAGTGGTATACTTAAACTAAAGAATAAGCGAAGGAGATTGAAATGATAGGAAAACGAAGAAAGAAAACTCTATGGATCCCAGATTCAGAAATACGAAATTGAAAACTTGCTCACATGAAACACTCAGCCCTCATGATCATATCATTTCGTTCAAGTGACAAAATTTCCAGTTTTCCAGAGAGTCAATATGTTAAAATAACAATATATATTCTTCGATCAACCAAATTGTATTTAGAATTGACAAAATATTTTGTTGAATAATATTGAAAAAAATCCAATAACTGAATTTCAAAACTAAGAGAAATTAAAGATCAATTTCCTCAGTTGATTCAAGACTATTAGCTTGTATAAGCGTCATGAAAAATTCTAGGACATCCTAACATAATTATATAAACGGATGTTTTAGGTAGGTATATGTACACCCCAATCGAGGCGAGCGTTTGAAGGTTGGAAGAAACGCCATCTGGTGGCAAAAATGCAACTGGATAATCATTCAACAAAATATTTGTTTGATATAATGTAATTGTGGGTTCTGTTCAACAAAGTAATTTGTTTGAAATAACAACATATTTCTTGATAGTGATGTGTTGAATCAACAAAATATAATGTCGTTATAATCAATTCAATTTTGTCGAATAAAAAAAACCTTCGAGTGATTGCACAATGAAATGATTGTTGACTCAACAAAATATGATGTTGTATTTATTTAAATCTTTGCCAAAATTAATTTAATTTTGTCGAATAAACAAAATGCATATGATTGATTGAACAATGAGATAATAGTTGGATCAACAAAGTTTGTTTTATGTGAACTATAAATGTTGTTGAATGAAATAAACCTTTTGTTCAAGTAAGCAAATATTTCAATCACATTATTTTGTTTCTTTGAATAGGTTGCTTATTTGGAATTAAAATATATTTTGTTGATTTCGCAGAATTGTGTTTAATTGAACAAAAAATGACTTAAATTATTTTGTAGATGCAACAAAACTTTTTCTCCGTGTATTAAATTAGCAACACAGATTAAAGTAATGGAAAAAATATAAGAGAAAAGTAAGAAGGAAAGGAGAAGAACAGAAAAACAGGAAAAGGAAAGTATTTGTTTCATGTTGGATATACCCAGAAATAATTAATATTTTTATCAGATATACAATTCAAATTCTCATGTTCATAATATATCTGAAAATATTTCTTCTCGACCAATTTGTTAGTATTTCATGCCGAAGTCCATTCATAATTTTCCACAGACGATTTTTTTTGAAGATTTGTTCCGAAAAACAGATCTTTTTGAAATATGCCAAAATATTTGTGTTTTTTATAAAACATAGTCCGATGACGTCATCATTTGAATTCTGTAATTAGAACCCGATACCCTTCTAGGTGATGATCAGTAGCAGTATCATGAAAAGAAATATTAAGAAATCAGAAGACAGTGTTAAACATGACTTCTCAGGAATCTCAGCTTGGAGGAAGAAGAATATTTCAGGCTCTATGGAAAAAATCAATATACAATGAAACACTAAAATTATGGACGTGAATTACTCAACCAACCAAGAGCCAACTCATAACTTGAGGAAAAAGAGAGTATAAAAATAACTCTAGCTATGTAGAAAAGCCTCACTTGGTATTGTGAGGCTACATTAATGAATCTTTCATGTCGTAGTGTATATCTACCTCTTTTTTTACACATATAGGTGCATCAAGAGGTCATAAGGGTCATACGAAACTTCCAGAGTTAGCTGCAATTAGCAATTAGAAAGTAGGAGTCCAGAATTTGAGGTACAGCCAATCTGAATTTGCCCTCAAATGTAGAATTTTGTTGTCTCAATTGTTTGTGTTTTAATAAATGATATGGTTCGCATGAGGGAGCTGGCTAACACCCTTTTCAGGTACTGTTCATCAGCTCTCTTTCAGAATTTTCCGGTTGTGCTTTGTAGGCTAGTATATCATTTACTTCTGTGTATTCTGTGTAGGCTCTGTTACTAACTCTATTCCCCAGTCTAGTAGCAGCACTGTTAATTGGAACAGTGAATCGTGCAAGACAATTCCTATCCGAGGCTCTGAAACTTAACGATATTCAATTCTTGAATTACATGTGGGAAAAAAGTTCCTTGCTCTGGCTTACAGGAGTGAAGGTTGGTATACCTAATCTAATCGTACGATGCAATCTCTGATGAAAATGAGGTAAGAGGAGAAGCTGAAGCTTTGTAGAATATCCTCACATGGCATATAGTAGGTGCAAGATGGATCTTTCAAGTTTAAGTGCATCCATAGGTACATCAAGAAGTCGCACGATACTTTCAGTAGTGCCTAGATCATTAATTGAAGAGTAGCGGTCCAGAATTTCCAATGAACTGAATGTAAACAACTGGAAGGGACCCACTGTGAACGAGGAGTGAGGCAAAAATATTTTTCAGGCAACCCGCAGTGTTTACGGATACCTATCTCTCTCTATCTTGTGTTGGCTAATGGGAAGCGCTCGCATAATTTGAAATATTTTCTCGTTTTTTGCTTCTATTTGAGAGTAAACGTGATTAAATAAAAATATTCATTTAGGAAAAAGGATAATGTTGTAATCAATTATCATTAAAAAATTATTTCTGATATCAGGAAGTCAACTGAATACAAAATTTAAATCATATATTTTTATTCAAATGTCACAATATATTGTACAGGGTGAGCGAAGCACAGTGTCTCAGAACAATCAGAAGGAAAAGAAAAACGATAGGAAAAATTTGAAAAGAGGTTCTTGAATGGTATTGATGAGTTTATTTTGAGCATAATTTCCATAGGTTCCTATTCCTCCATTAGGTCACTCATTGTCATTACTATACCCACTGTTGGAAATTGATTGAACTACTTATTCTTTCATGTTTGAAATTTGTAGGTCTCTCCTTTTTACTTTTTGTCTCGGTGTGTTCACTTTTCTCCTCAATGCAATATCCTTCTCTAATGAAACAGTTTGAGTTTCTTTATTGATCAACTCCGAAACTTGGGAGCTGGAAGTGGTAGGCAAGTCAAAGTCAATAACATGGGAAACTTCTTCCTTTGGACTCAAGTTATGAACGTCCACAGATGCATCCTGAAAACAAATTACTAGCTAGTTTTCTTATTTTAAATAGGTGCGAACATACTTTTTTTCATTATTATTCAACTAGGTACCTATGAGTTGTCTTATTTTCTTGGGGGAATCAGCATTTTTTGGTCACAAATGCTGAGGAAATGAAAATATACTGGGTACAGCATCTGCTTTCAAAAACCTAGCAGTACCTGGTATGCCTGAATAATCTGTTGGCAGGAAATGCTCCCCACAAAGCTTGCTGCTTTTAGTTGGTGTCCAATTCTCTCTACGAATTGCCTTTATCCATATTTCGAGAATGTCTGGTCTGGAATATTACTCAATATCAATATATGGAAGTATTTAACTTTGACAAATAATATAGGTATAGTTTTTGAACATATTCTGAGACTAGAAACATTGTATACCTCTGATGATCATTTCAAGAACTATATTTTTCAAAAATCTGAGAACAATATTCAACTTACCCATCATGGAATGCTAATTTCCTTTTGTTTTGTTCATTCTTGCATACAAAGGCGACACAATAAATCACCATTGTTTATCAATACTAATCACAAACCTTCTCAACAATCAGTTCAGTGTTCACAACAACAAATTCAGTTCTTTTGTTACAACAAAACACGCCAAATGAATAGATATTTCACCTCATATTTCACATAAACTAAGACAATGAACTTATGTCTTCACTTTCTTGCCTGTGTAGATGACAGAAAAAATTCTTTACAACTTCAATTATTAGATAAAAGAAAAATTAATACACCAATCCACCATTAAACAACACGAGTTGGAAGAGGACAGGTATCCGTAAATCATGCTATCTTTGTTGCAGCTGCCCCTGACACACTTTGTGCTATTCGAGAGAAAGATCGTCTCCCTTCCAATAATTGAGAATTTCATGACAAAAATGAAATGAAATGATTGCTGATTTGGCAAGTTTTTCAATTTTGCGTTAGCAAATTGAGTTGAAACACAATCTACCTGTGAATTCGAAAAAAATAGTTGGCACGCAGTAGGTGAAACCCATCAGGCCAGCCTGACCAGATTGCTGTGCTGCCATCAGGAAAAGTCCTCGTCCTCGAACTACTAGCACAGTGCTTTTCAATCTGTGGGTCGCGACCCCTAGTGGGGTCGTGACGCCTTACTCGGGGGGTCACCGGCTAAAAGAAAAAGTCGAGGTTCTTACATAATAAAAACGCAATTTTAGTGAGAAGGATGTGCTTGTTTATTTTTCAGAAGTTTATCAAATTGTGGTGCTATTTTTGAAACGTTAATAATCAAATCATTTTCTGATTGCAGTCTATTTCTCTTTTTAGTTCTAATGTCTACCATTGAAGAAAATGTCAATTCACACAAGTATGGAGTGGCGAATAGCACTAATAATTCAAGAGCTTCTTTTGCCAGCTCTAGATATTCGTGTATTCTTTTTATCAAAAATACATGGACACTTTGCGAATAAAATTATATTTTAAGTATTCAATCAGCAGCTAAATCTAGGAGACATTCTTTCATTTTTATGGTGACATCAGCCAGATATATTGATTTGTCCAAAAAAGGGTTCAAAATCCATTCACGCCCATTGTCAGCTTCAGAGTGCAAGTCTGGAAACTATGTCAAAAGTTTCTCTTGTAAATTATACAAGCTCAGTATAATGCAAGAAATATGAGCCGATACTGCAAAACTTTGGTATGTTGCATTATCTTCAATTATCTTCTG